TATAATCTGGAATAGTATTACTTCTTGCTATACAATGCATTCGTATCTAGCAGCATATCTAGCATTTTGTCGATTATTAATTTCATCTCTTTTAAATGACAGTTTCTCTTAAATAAGAAACTGTCATTTAAAATAAATTATACAATAATCTTATGACTTTAAAAAACAAACATATCAACTAGGAGATGTTTAAACAAAAAGTTAACTTCTAAATTTTTTTAATTAGATTTAAAAAAATTTATCTAAATAAATAGCAATTTATCTAAATAAATAGCAAAAATAAATTAGCAAATAATTCTAATAATAAACATAGTACTAATACAGAAAAATTAAAAAAAAAAACGTTGTAAACCCTTTTTTGCAAACTTCATTAATATTTCTTTAAAGAAATTATTAGTTAGCGTTTTAAAAAAATACACAAAACTTTATAATATTTTGTTCTTCTATACCACATAAATACATCATTTTATAAATCTAAAATATAAAATGTAAGTAAATAAATAAGAAAAAACATTACATACAAAAAATGGATATCAGTGTACCTGATAGAGAAAAGCTGTTGTGATTACCAGAGTAGTAGTAGTAGGTTTTTAGTGAATGATTAAAATCATTGAGATCTAATAATGAAATTTCCTATTTATCATTTTTAACAATAGACACCAACGTGAAGGTAAACCAAATGTCTATGAACTCAAAAGATTTTAAAAAAACAATATCACAACAACAATAGCACACATCATAAGCTAATATAAGCTAATATAACATAACTTAAGTAACATAACATTCATATATAACAGAACATAAGTAACAATATTAGGCAAAATGTTATTAAAATACATTGTTTTATATTTTTAGAATAATTAATAATAAAGGCATGAAAACACCTAGGCCTAAAGCAGTAACAGTTTGATACTAACCACTGCCATTTAATCCTTTGCTGTAAGTACATGATTTGGCTGGCAAGGTTGAAAAATTTAGCTCTACACATTTACCAAGTCACAGCACTTTGAAAACATGGAAACAACAATATAAACATATATACCATGTATAAACACAATACATATACTTAACCTTATATAAACATATTTAAACACATTTATAAAATAGTTATATAACACATATTGACACATACACAAACAATGAAAAAACTTGTTAAATTATTATAAAAACACATTGACAATACAGCTATAAAGCACATATTACCATATACATATATATATATATCAAAAAGCAATGCAGACAATAAATACATATAACTTGAATTGTGCAAACAAAAATTTTTTAAATGACATAAGAAAATTTAAAAAGATTCAAAGTAAACAAAATATAAATATATACATACAAACTATACTCTTTACCTTTATTTTTTTTTATAAGAACTGTAATCCTTATAACAATAATTTAACTTTTACATACAATAACATGTGACATGTCAGTGTTTGCACAAAATCTTAATTTATTTTTCTAAATTTTCTAAAAAAGAGCAAAAATAGTTAATAGCATCATAGAAATTTCAAAGTAGTAATAACCAATTTTATGGAAATAGTATTAGTATAACTTTTTTATTGCATAAAAAATGCATAAAAAATAATTTGGCTTCATCCATACCCCTATCTTCCTTCTAAAATATAGAAGATAAGCTCAATAAAAACAAAATTGCTAGAAAAAATTAAAGTGCTAGAAAAAATTAAAGAAAAACTAAAACGAACAAAATGTAAACAATTTAAAAAATGGAGGAATAAAGTAGAAAGGAGTGAACCTTTCTACTTTATTTCTACTTTGTTTCTAATAAAAATGTTATATATAAATTGCTTAACTATTTTCTATACTTACTTCTATTATAATATAATCTTAACGATGATTATTTATCTTAATATTATTCTTTACGTTTTGATAAAAGCACTTATATTATGTTAACTGGGTTCAGCTACTGTCTTGTAAAGGACCTTCTAGGCAAAGACTTCAGGGGTAAGCAGAATAATTATGTTGACCTGCTTAGCACCTCTTCTTTATCTATTAGGCTGGCAAAGATATAAACCTATATTACATTATTTTCTGCCTATGATGATAAATGCTGTATCTTCTTGACTCTACTCATAGATTTTTGCTAATGCCTCTTTGAGAGCGGCTACACATCTCTTCCTGTTATCTCCAAATGAGGGAATTACTTACTACCAGCAACCTAACCAAATTAATTACTTACTACCAACCAACCTAAAAGTTCAACTGAATTTTACAGCTGTAAAACTTAGTTAAACTCTTAGTTTGGCTGGTAGTAAGGTTTCCTGTGGTAATTTTCAGAGAAGCTGTTTCCATCAACAGCTGTAAAATATCAGAGTATTAACAGTGCCATGTTGCGCATGGATGGTGTCCCTGTTTGTACTTTTGGTGTGCATTGCCAAGGCCACATTGGAGCCCTTTGTTACGGCTTAGGGTTTATTAGTGGAAATGAGGCAATTGCTTGAGCTATAGAACAGTGTACTGAGTACTATCAATGTTTCGAGTCAAGTTCTTTAACAAATTTAAAAATGAATAAAGTAACAAAAACTATAAAACACAAAAAACCACAGTCATCACCAAGTTCGCTAAACCTATCATTCACCAATATTCGTGGTCTTTGAAGTAACTTTTCTTCTGTTGAGTCTTATCTCTTGCAAAGTTCACCAGACCTGCTTGCTCTTTGTGAGACTAATTTGAGTTCAGCTGTCTCATCTTGTGATCTTAGTGTTGATGGTTATCTTCCTTTAATTCGTAAAGACTCCAATAGTCACATGCTTGGCCTGGGCATTTACATTCATAATGGTCATAATCTTTCTGTCATTTCTGTTAAACAGGTTAACCCATTAATAGATATTCGAATCACTCTGTCTTCTGTTGCCAAAAACATTTCTCAATTAAACTCTTTTATGGCTTGTGGTTCAGATAGCATTCCTGTCATAGTCTTAAAAAAATGTTCTTCAGAACTCTCTTCAAACTTTCTAATAAGTACTTCACTAAATCATGTTTAACCAAATTTACTTAATCAAATTCTTTCCAAAATATTTAATAAGTACCTGATTAAATCATATTTTCCTTTTGGCTGAAAAATGGCATTTGTGGTTTCAATTTTTAAAAACTCAGGTGAACATACTGACCCCTCCAACTATTGTCCAATCAGTCTTCTTTCTGTTATTAGCAAGGTCTTTGAGTCTTTGATTAACAAATTTATCACATCCCATCTTGAGTCAAATAACTTACTGTCAGACAATCAATATGGTTTTTAATCCTCTCGCTCTATGGCTGATTTTCTAACTGCTGTGACTGAAAGAGTTTATTGTGCATTAGATGGAGATTGATAGGCTCTTGATATATCTAAAGCTTTCATTAAAGTTTCTAACCGTTTTATTAAAGTCATCCTTGAAGGCTAAAGCTCTTCTTCTTTTCCAGTAACTTCTGGGTTCAAGGTTCTATTCTTGGTCAATTTTTGTTTTTTAGCTACATTAATGATCTTCTTGACAACCTTATATCTAAGTTGGCTTTTTTTATTATTTTTGTTTATTTTGAAATGTATATCCAATCTTATATTATTTGGTGAATAAAATAATTAAAAAATGTATGAGTATTTACCAATAATTCCATTTATAAAGTATTAAATGTTGTTTCATTTCATTGGGAAACACTTTGATAAAAAACTGATTAAAAAAACAACTGATAAAAACTTTTATCAGTGCTAATATTCTGAAACAATACTTGTTGGTCGAAAATTTTCTATAAGTAAGTTGTCTCGTGTAATGTACAGTTTTTTCAAAAAAATATTATCTTTAGAGTTTCTTATTCACCACAAAAATAAAAAAATAGTTTAATAAAAAAATTTTAAACAAAAAACTTTTGTGTATTTAATTAAGCTTGTTTTTTTTTTTAACATATACTTTTAATTTTTGGTTTGTTTAATAAAAAGTTTTTGATTTCTTTCTACTATATTTACATATTATACTAATATAAACAATATATCTATACGCTTATTATACTAAGTCTATTCTTTCTATATTAGAAATATCTGTATATCAAAAGTGTTTGGATCCAATTTTTCCACCCATATTTTATATAAAGATTGCGCTATGCATAACATGTCTAGAATAAAATATGCATTTTTTTTCTGGAAATTTATTTTCTCTTGCTTTTGAATATTAAAATTTTATTAAAATTATTTTTATTTTCTTTTTATTTTATTACTTGTTCAAAACAACTTAAAAATTCTGTCTTAAAAATCTTGCTTGAAAGCTAATCTTGAATCTGATATTATTTCTGTAAGAGATTGGGCCTTGCAGTGACTTGAGAATTTTAACTCCAACAAAACTTAGTTATCTACTACAAACAATTACCGTAATACTGTCGATACTCTTATATTAATGAATGGCAACACTCTCACTAAGTCCTCTTCTTTTTGTCTTTTTGGATTATCATTCACTACTGACCTCTTATGGAAATCATATATACAATTAATTGCAAAGATAATATTGCTTTCTTTATTGCACCACTTTCTTATTCCTAATTCCGTTCTCTACCTCTACAAATCTCTTATTCACCTTGTATGGAATACTGTATTCAAATTTGTGCTGGTTCTTCTAATGATGCTCTTTTTCTTATAGACAAGATCCAAAAGTATTTTGTAAACATAGTTGGACCCTCTCTATCTGCAAAGCTTATACCTCTTTGACATCGTTGCAAAATTGAATCTTTTTTATTTTTCTGCAAATACTATCATGATTGCTGCTCAAAGGAGCTATCATCTCTAGTTCCATCAACCAGAACTCATTCTTGCTAGACTCGTCATTCAGCAACATCACATTCTTTTACTGTATCTGTCTCTTTATTCTCTAAAAACTTTTATTCATTTAGTTTTTTCCCCTGCTTCTTAATACTTTGGTTGCTAAGAAAACTGTCCAACAAAGCTTGTAGCTTTTTTGGACAACTTTGTTAGAAGTGAATTCAATTTTTTTTCCTCAATTTTTGTTATTTAGGTTCTGCTGCTTTAAAAGCTTCTAACCTTAGTAGGTTTGTTTATATTTTATATTCGAAACCTTTTTGATGTTTTTTTTTTTTTTTAATTGATGATATATATTAACTGCTGTTGTATTACTTTTTATTATTTAATGTTTTATTTAAGCTTATTTTATATTAATAATTATTGTTTGTAACTTTTAGATTGTTTATATTATATGTAAAATATTTTAATTATAATGTTTTTATATAACGAGCATAAAATTTTTTATGTTTTTAATATTTCTCTTTTTTTTTATAAAATAGTTATTTAAAGGTTGTGCTACTTCAGGACTTAAGATTCATTTTTTTAATTAAATTTCTATAGATTTTTTATTATGACATTTTATTATGGCATTTCATGTAAAACTTATCTCTTATATATTTAATTCTTTTGTTAAACTATGTTGAACTAAGGTTATGGTTGAAAAAAGACTTTTAAGAGTAAATTATAATAAATTAATATTAAAATGTAATATTAAATGTATTAATGTATGTACTTAAATGTTTATTCTTAGCTACAATTCTGGTTTCTGTGTTGGTTGTCTTGATTGTAATTATTATTGTTGTTGTTGTTGTTGTTATTGTTGAAAAAAATCGTAGAAGAAAAGAAATATGGAAGAATCAAGATGCTTACACTTATGAGTGATTTTTTTTTTCAATTTCTTTTTAAGTTAATTAAATATTTTTTTTAAGTTTGTTCTTGCTGTCCACAATCCGCATCTACATCTAATTCAGCTATACAATTCACCATACATTAAATCATTAGGAGCTAATAATATATTAACTTAAATATAATTTTTTTTATATTTTAAAAAAATTTACTTTTAACAAGACTGCAAACAACCATTATTTAAGTTAAAAGTAATTAGAGTTAGCATTGTGGAAGAGCAAGAAAACAGTTGTTTTCTCGCTTTAAGACTGGAAAATATAAATATGGTTGAGAATTCCAAAGTATTGATGTTTGAAAAAAAAAACTAGATGAAAGCTTTTTGAGCATGAAAAGACAGTTACTGTAAAATTATGAAACTTTGCTATATAAGTCCCGGGAAATCTAGTCAATTGGTTGAGTTTTGCTTGATGGAACAAGACTTGTGTTTTAAAATGGCATTAACAGTACCATCCTCAACAGATGGGTTACAGAAGTTTTAATAAATTTGAACCACCTATGCATCAGATACTCAGAAATAGTAGCTGTGATTATTGCTTCAAATACATTTTTTATTTTTCAATTAACTTTTTTTTTATTTAAGTACTGTACAACTGTTACTTGAATAAAACTTGTATACAAGATTGCAGAAAACTTTGAATAGATTATGTATAATGGTTAGAGTGATGTTTGAATTTAAACTAACAAAAACAAAAAAAAAGCAAAAAAAAACTTTTATGCCTGCCTGGATTAAAGTGATTATTTAAAAGGTGCAGTTTTTAACAAAAAGACAAAAAAAATTACCCCAAGAACCATCGCATAAAAAATGAATAAGCTTCAATCAGCTTTATAGTAGCAATAAGACATGCATTGATAAAGTGAATTCGATGTCACAGAAATACAAATTAAAAGTTCTGTGAGATTGTTGCATTATCTGAAGCACCTAAAACAGAACAAATTAAAGCTGACGTTTAGCTTAGGTTAGAAATGAGATACAAATCTTAATGATAGTAAGTGATTAGTCTGTGAAACCAGGCACAAACTTAACTTTTTATCTAAGAAATTAAATGGCAAAATTATTGAACTTTAAAGCCAGCATGAATATTTGGATCCAAGTGATTTAGTTTGATAAGCATTAAAGTTACAATTAACTGCAGTATTGGTTGATGGACAAAAAATAAGAGCTTAGTCAATTTAATCAGAAATAAATTTGAAAAGAGTGCAGTCTTGTGAGCTTAAAAAAAACACTTTTAAGAAAAGTCAGAGGATTCAAACCTGATTTCATTGCAAATAGATATATTGATATATAAGTTTTTGTCCAGATCAATCCAGGTCAATCGAATGACATTTAAAGTCTTTACAAATCAAGGGATACAATATAATGAACACTAAAATCCAAAGAAGTTTTTAAAATTTTTAAAAACCAAAATTAAAAAAAAGAAATTAAAAAAGGTTCAAAATGATCAAGTAGTTCTGGCAAGCTTTGGTAAAAGAAAAGTTCAAAAATCAAGAATGTTTGTTTAAGATGGATTTAAAGGATTTGGTGTTAATCATGGTTTTTAAAATTTTTTACATCTTGACTTAATCATATAGCTATGGATTATTATTCTTGTTAATCAACCCAAAGTTGTAAAAAAGTTGGCTCTTTATGTGGTGTCAACAATGCACAATGAAAGTACTTACAGCAACACATTCCATACACAATACTCTTTGAGTGCTTCTACAGAGTTTAGGAAAACTTTCTACCACCTGGTTGTAGAACTAAATTTAAGTTTTAGAACTGTACCTTAATTACATGATAGCAGATGATCATTGTCCAAGGCAGGAAAAAGATCAAGTTCTAAATTTAGATTAAAATCCAACATTCATCATTCTCTGCAGAAAACAATATATTTACACCAAAGCCAGCTTATTAGATGAAGTATGGGTGATAGATTGGTCTACAAAATTAATCTAATAATAATATACCTGACAACCAGATTAATAAAAAGATAATCTGGTTATCAGAGTAAATGATCTAAAGTCTTTGCAGAAAAAAAATGACCTAAAGTCAGGAAAGGTTTTTTGCAGAACGTTAACCAAATGCTGTTTAAGTTTGCCCAAGATAAGTATTTTTATTGAAATACCATTTTAATAAAAAGTCTCTAATGATATTTTACTACGTGTCAATACCCCAACTACCAATTCAAATACGCTCATCTACTCATACCCAAACTCCCATTCCAGGTATGTTCATCTACTCTTACCCAAACTCCCAATCCAGGTATGTTCATCTATTCTTACCTATTAATATTTCATTTCAATATTATTCATGACATTGAATAACATTGTTTTTTTATTAAAATAATTTTTTAGTAATTATGCGGATTTCTATAAATCAGCACCAGATGAATGGGAAATTTTTCCAGAAAGTTTAGTTTTTGATAAGAAAATTGGAGAAGGTGCTTTTGGAAATGTCTTTACAGCAAAAATCAATGCAAAAAATCTTTCTAAAACAATGTTTGCTAAACAATCTAAAATTGTTTCAGATGATGTCAAAAATGATTTAAATGTTGCTGTAAAATTATTAAAAGGTTTCAAATTAATTGTTTCTAGTTTTTATTTTATCTTTTAACTTTTTCATTGTGATATATAACAATGGCATGTGTTTTTTTTTTTTTAGTGGTTTTTATATAATTTATAAAAATTTCTAACAGAAAATTTATTACATGACTTTTTATAATAACTGCTCTGCACATGTAATTTATCTTTAGAAAATTTATGATAATGCAACTAATTATTATCACAAATATATAGATTATCATAAGTCTTAGTAGCCTTAACAAAGGTAGATTTCAAATCTCATAATCTGGTTCAATTGTCATTTGTTTGTTACTCTTTAACTTAATTTTTACAGTACCTCAGGTATTTTTTTTTGGCAGGACATTGACATGTAGCAAAAGATGTGCATTAAATAAAATGCAATTTATACTACTAATAGTATATTTATATTATTATTATTTTTATAAAAAATCACTAATTTGTTCACATTTGTTGTTCATATTAGTAATTTTTATAATTTTCTTTATTTTCATAATTACTTATATAAATATTTTAAAAATTTTTTAACAATATATTTGTACATTTGTTTTTATTAATATATTTGTACATTTGTTTTTATTAAATCAAAATTTTAAATAATTAAAAGTGCAACAAAATTGCAATTTTTGTCACAACATGTATTTGTGTATAGCACAAATCTTGAATTCAACACAAAATTTTAGAAAACAGATTACATAAAACAAATATTAAGAAAAAAATAAAATATTTATTGAGTTATGAGTTTTATGATTTGAGTGTTCTTTAAACACTATGTTCTTATATCATAATTAAGTTCATATTTTTTCTAATTTAATGATAAAGCTATATAAGATATTTTTTTTACACATGTTTTATTGTTTAATAACTTTTATAGATGTAGCAAATCATTCAGAATTTGAAGATTTTCGTGAAGAAATCGATCTAATGAAAGAAATTGGATATCATAAATACATTGTCAACATGATTGGTTGTTCTAGAGTCAAAAGACCATTGTGTTTAATTCTTGAGTATATGGAAAACGGAGATTTGTTGCATTTCTTAAAAAGCAGACGTACTAAAGTAAAGTATTAATTGTTTTTTTAATTAATAATGGATTTGATTCAAGATTGGTTTATAAAATAACAAAATAGAAAAATTGTTTTTTATAAATCTTTGTCATAAATAATTTACCAATAAAAACTGAGAAATAAGAATACGCATAAATATTGCATGTTGTAAATATGGTAAATATATATTAATATATAACATTCAGTATTTCCTTATTATGCATGGACTTTTTAAACTTTAATTTATTTTGAACTACTTTCATATTTTCTCCTTTTATTTTAAATTTTTTTTTGGCATTAAATCTAAAATTAAAAAAAAATCTTTTATTGTTTAATGAATTATAAAATTGTAAAAGTAGCTTTTTAAATCACATGACATGAATAAATAAGACCAAAGAATTAGTTTATTTTATATGTGTGTATATATATATATATATATATATATATATATATATATATATATATATATATATATATATATATATATACATATATATATATATATATATATATATATATATATATATATATATATATATATATATATATATATATATATATATATATATATATATACATATGTGTATATATATATATGTTTGTCAGCTATATCAGATTGGATGGGATTAGTGGAATCAACAGATGAGGTTGATAAAAACTTAACCATGGAGAAGAGTGAGGCTTGATTTGGAATCGAGAGGGAATAAAAGTTTCCATGTCAGCTTGAATCCAAGAAGTTACATAAGAAACACATTTCTCAGCAAGAAGATGAAAGATTTCTACCCAAGGGCTATCACAATAATCTTGGAAAGAGTCCCAGTTAGCTTTAAGGTAGTTGTAAGAGGTAGGATGATAGGGGAATTCTAATGATGAAGAAGAATGAAATAATAGTTTTAGAGAGATCAAACCACGGTCAAAAGCACTTAACTGTGAATGTGGAGATACTGAGCACTGACTAGGATCAGAAACAAGACATAAGTCAAGTAGAGGAGGTAAATGATTCGAATTGTCTGGAAAGCGAGTTGAAAAGTTGATTATTTATGTTACAGATTTAGAAAAGTAAAAGTTGTGAGCCTTAATATCTGCCAAGTCACTAATACTAGAGCCAAGTTATTCAGTGTGATGCGCATTAAAGTCATCAACAACAACAGTATTAGCTGAAGGATAAAGTGAGATGTCAATTTTATAAGAAATAACATCAAAAAGAGTGCAGTCTTGTGATGAAGGAGAGCAATATAGAACAAAGAGAAAGGTGATAAAGCAAAGTGATGCTAAACGAAAGCATATAAAAGAATAGTCTGTGAACTCATAAATAAATAAGCAGCTAATGAAAGCACATAAAAGATATAAATAGCACATAAATAGTGCATTATGTATATTTTTAAATATTTTAAGTCGTTTTATTGGATTCCTTGCCTCAAAATATGTAAGTACATATTTTCAAAATATTCAAGTTTATATTTTCAGCTTTTGTTGCACACAGAACAGAAATAAAGACAAAAACCATTTTTTTAAATAGTGTTTTTTTGTTGGTTCACGGCAAAGTTTAAATGGTTATATCTTTGAAACCGTTTAGAGTTTGATGATGAAATTTTTTAAATAATAACTTATTAAAATCTTTGAACGTTCTAAAAATCAGCAAAATCTGAAACTAAGGGTTGTGTGCCCTGGATATTTTCACATGGAATCACCCTAAATCATTTGAATGAAGTAAATACTGACATATCATTCTTTGCATGAAAGCAAAAGTTTTTTGCATGAAAGCAAAAGTGTTTCAGAAGCTGTAGGATAGAATTTTAAGAACTTGAAGACTAGAAAAAAAAAATTCAACAAGCAAAAACTCTTCAACTTCAAAATTAAATAAAAAGAAAAGTACAAATAAATATCTGCAGCTGCAGGTGAAACATTGATTTAAAAATATGCAGGTGAAACATTGCTTTAAAAACTTATACGTCTATAAGTGGGCAACTGTCCCAAAAATTATGATAATGAAACAAAAATGCAATTCGGAATAATTTTTATCTGTTAAAAACTAAAAATAAACAAGATTTACATTTATAAACATTAATAGAAGCTAGGGCAGTCAAACGTTTTTAAAGGAAAAACTTAGATGATACTGTTTTATCTTCAACCCAAACCCCACTAGCAAAAAGTAAAACATTTGTGCACAATGCACAGTGGGCCAAAATCATTGTTAGCTAGACAAAAATAATAACTTTTTAGATATTAATCGGATTATCCCCATACTTACCAGGTTGAGTATATTTTGTACTAAGAATTTATTGGTACCATTAGATTGTTTATTTAGTTGCTATGGGTACCTACAATCCATAGCAACAGAGCATTTAGCCTAGTTACCTAAATTAAGAGACCTTCTTAAAATGTCAAATTTATAAATTAAACTGATATTAATGCTACAATGCTATTATATGTATTTGAAAAATAACACAAACAAAAAATTACTAATTTTTGGTGTTGCTATGCAGTTTTGGGCTCTTAGAAACCAGTTATTTAATTTTTTTTTATGAATTCTTTGCTTGATTTAAAATTTCTTTGAAAAATTAAATAAAAATTTTGTCTCTACTTAAAAGTCTCAACTCTAGGGTGTATAGATACAGTTAATAAAATTCGAATTAATTGTATCTATGTAGTTCAATTGTTCTTAGCAACCAAATAAAAATCAACAAGCTTTCATACAATTAGAGCTATAGAATACTTAATAAAGTATATTTAAAAATACAAGCAAATTTGTATATTCACAAAAACATTTATTTGCATAACATGCATTATTTTATTATATAAATAATAAATACAAATAAAGTAAACAACATCTTGAATACCAACTAAAATCAAGACTATGCAATTGCAATTTATAGTTGGTCAAAAATTGGAACTTCTTCAAGTACATCAAGAATGCCAGTTGTATGAGCGTTGTTCTTGGGATAATATGATGTTCTCAAACTACTTAGCAAAGGGTCAGAATAACACATTAATTGCCTTGATAAATCTTCGGGTTTTTTTGACCACGAACACTTTCTGGAAAATGATTTGCGACACTTCTTAAAGTTTTTTATTTTTAGTTTCTTGTGCCTATTTCTATATTAGTCTTTTAAGATCATTTATGGAATTGATAAGGTATTTCTGCAACTGTAATAGGCATATTGGTGTATGATTGACTAATGCTTGAAAGTTTATTTTTCCAGAAAAACTATCAACAGTCCATAATGTTTGTTTAAAAAGACATTGTTCTTTACCAGCATGAACATTAATATGTGCAGGATAGAGAGCAACCTTTACTCACTACATTATTTCACAAGTGTTGGTAATCAGATTTGCTCATATGATTATCTGAGAGCTAGAACTTTTTTAGAGTGTTTTGAGTATGTACTGAATCAGAAAGTTGCTTTACAGATAAACTTCGAACTAATTTCTTTTTTTTGCCATCTTTATAAAGATTACAACTACTAGCATATAACAGTTTATTTGATAAACTAGTTAATAAGTCGGTAGCTGCTTCTTTATGACTCTTTGTCTTATTTGATGAATTCTCACAGGCACTATAGATTTTGTTTTCTAAATCCTAATTTTTAATATCCTAGTTTTTTGATGATTTAATAGCCTTTATCTTAGAAATATCTTAGTTAAGATTAACTTGAAATTCTCAAGTAAAATTCTTTACTTTACTTAGGTTACATGAAGGTTACATGAAGTTTTCATCAACTCTTTAACTTAAAGACCAAGGTTTACAATTCTTTGACAAAAAAGTTACAAATTTAGCATTAAATCGAAAAAAGTATTCACAAATCAAAATGTGAAAGGCTAATTTGTCTTTGGCATCAGACATAGATAAACCATGCTGTCTTATGAACTAATGATGTCTTATGAACCATGCTGTCTTATGAACATTTTAATAACAATATTAAAATAAAAAAAATATTAAAAAGATTTATATATATATATATATATATATATATATATATATATATATATATATATATATATATATATATATATATATATATATATATATACATATATATATATATATATACACATATATATAATATAAATATATATATAGATATAATATAATATATATATAATATAAATGTATTTATATATATATATATATATATATATATATATATATATATATATATATATATTATATATATATATATATGTATGTATATAAATATGTATAAATATATATATATAATATATATATATATATATATATATATATATATATATATATATATATATATATATATATATATATATATATATATATATATATATATATAATATATATATAATAGAATTACTATTAGATGCACTTGAAATATATGAAATTGCAGGTCAAAAAGAAAAATATTTAATTAAAAAAAGTGCGTATATATATATTATATATATATATATATATATATATATATATATATATATATATATATATATATATATATATATATTTCTCTTTTCTACAAAAACTATAATGGGCACTGCTATAAAATATATGAAATTGCAGGTCAAAAAGAAAAATATTTAATTAAAAAAAGTGCATATATATATATATATACATTTTTTTTTTAATTATCTTCGCTTCCAACAAGGTTGCAAGCAACCACTAATTAGTGTTGGAAGTTACTGGAAGATAAAAGATGAAAATTGTAGAGCAAGATAAAGATTGACAGACGACTTAAAATATTGAAAATTATATGAATCAGGAAAGCAATATGAAGGAAGCGAATTCCAAAGAACTGATGTTCGAGGAAAAAAACTAGACAAATAAGAGTTTTTGGAGCACTTAGGAACAGTAACAGAAAAAGGATGAGACTTAATTGAATTACGAGTAACATGAGAATGAATTTTAGTAGATGGCACAAGAGACTCTAGCTCTTTAGAGCAGTGCCCATTATAGTATTTGTAGAAAAGAGAAAGAGAAGCAACATTACAACGATATGACAGAGGTTGAAGGTTGGCTGCAAGAGCAGGTCCAACTACGTTTACAAT